CTGTTGAAGTTACTTATTAAATTATATGTTTATCTCTTGTCTTGTTTGTAAATCGACTAATCTGAAGCCTATGAAAGTGCTATCTAATGAACAACGCACCATGGTTTTCCTCAAGCGAGGCGAAATAGAATACCTTTTTTTTTTGTTTTTGCGTTTTATTGTAACACTCTGAAGTGTTTACATGAGGTGTTAAAAGAGAAACAAAGAGAGAGAGGGGGAAAAGACTAAGAAAGGATACAAGAACAAAAAAAAATACAAAAGAAAAAAGAAAGAGGGAAGACAAAATCAAAGAAGAGGGACGGGAGAAGGGACAAGTGCAAAGTTACCGTGATTCTTATTATCACAGCTGAGGTTTCCCTCCACTGCGCCATTCTTTTCCTCCTTTGTTCTAATGTAATATACAGTCATATAGAGAGGGGAGGGAATAATAATTGGCCTTCACTGCTCCACGAAATAGATCCATTCGATTAAGAGTGTTTTGTGTCTGTTAATTAGTTTATTCACTCTGTTCATTCTGAAAAATTGACCTAGTGAGTCATTCTTCATTTGTCTAAACTGATCCCAGTAAAATATATCCTCAAGAAACGCCGAATGACCTAAATCTGACTTGTACATATTCTCCAATCTTTTCTTTATGTATCTCTGAACGTACGATTTAAGTGGTTTCTCCTTTATTACTGTAAATAGATCCTATGCCTTTACATATGGGCATCTATGTACTATTCTGATACCCACACGGAATTTTCTGTCCAAAGCTTCTCTCTGCATCTTTGGGAGAAAGGGATAGAAGGGAAAAATCCACGCTAAATGTGGAAAGACATATGCAAAAAAACATTGTCTTAAGACCTGAATAGAGACTTTTCTACTTCTTTTCAACCACTTCAATTTCACCAGAGCGTTTCCGACTTTCTCGAGACACTGATCTACCGTAGGTTTAAGTGACAGCTTATTCGTCCATGTGAATCCTAAATATTTAAAAGCATTCACTATCTCCAATTTTTGCTCTTGCATGAAAACATTTATTTTCGGTTGTTCTATTTGCGTATAGAACACCTGTCCGACCGTCTTCTGTACATTGATAGGCTGCTGCCATTCCTTCGCATACTCTACTATTCTACTGCAGACCTTCGAACCATCTCTTTCGAGAAACTCAATGGCAGAAGCCAGATTCCTCGTAATGGGGGCCTTTACTAGTATACTTAAGTCATCCACGTAGATATGTCCTGAGTGTGCGCCTGCACAGTGAATTAAATCACTGTGGTAGACGATAAACAGGTACGGGCTAAGGCTACTTCCTTGTGGTAATCCAATATCTATCTGAAAACTATCCGATCTTTCCTCTCCAAAGACGATATANGTTTCTCCACTTGTCCCATTTCGACGAGGCCATCGAACCACTCTTCTATTCGAACGATCGCAGATGATGAGACTATCTCTCTCTTTGTCGACAATCACATCTCTTGGGTTATACAACTGATGAGCCCCACTTCCTTGTCCATTTCCACCGGCAACCACTTGGCCACTCGTCGCACCCCATTTCCATTCCACAATACGGTGATTCCACGTATCAGCGACATACATTGTTTGATCATCATCAACATACAAACCCTATGGGTCAGAGAGTTGATTGATTCGATTGCCTTGTCGATTTCCTCCAGCCACAGTGATACTATTCTGTTGCCATCGAGTATTCGAAGGAATGCCAATCGAAATGAAGCATAATGGAATGAAAAATAAAACGTTGGAGTATGCATAAGCATTGACATTATTGAATTTTGTCGGTCACTTCATCTAAATAGAACGCTAGATAGTTTTGATGATTTTTATGTCGGAATTCGAAGCCAATCAAATTTTCTACTGGTAGAACTATGAATGCTGTAGTTTTGGTAACTTTCAAAAAACAATGATTCATTATTTTAAAATGGCGAATACTTACTGATCTTACTCTGATGTGTTCATTAGATGTGGAGTTTTTATTAATATTTTTTTATGCATGATCCTTATTTTTTGTTCTGAAGTAACCAAGGCATCATATTAATGATGTCAGCAAGGGGAAAACCCTGCTTGAAGTCATTAAAATACATCAGAATGGATGGGAATGGATTAAAATAGCTAAAAATACTCCGAAATGTGGAAGGACAGTTTCGTGCAATAACGGAATGATTCCAATGGTATCTGATACGCGTAGCATAGAGTCATACAACTTCATGAAATTGCTTACAGTCTCTTTCAGATGAGTAACTTTCTCTGAATTGAAAGGATCAGGTCTAGAAACGGAAATTCACCTGTATCTGTCTGTAACAATGGAACAAATGACGATGGCTAGCAGATATAGCAAGAGTGACTGAGTAGGATGAAAACGCGTACCTAGGCATTAGAACTCATGTTGACTGAGGAGTATTATCCAAAGATGAGAGATAGGAAATTCGCGTACACTATGAAACGACAGTGTAGACTCGATATTTCACCGTATACGACCGCATTTCTCTGTATACGATTCGAAGAAAAATGATCAGTTACAGATAGATACTGAGCCAAACAAAGATCGTACACGGTCTTTGAGTGGGAACTCTGTAAACGATTGTATTTCTCCATATGGTATACGAAGAAATACAATCGTGATATTGAACCATGTAACGCGTGAATATACGACGACTTACCTTCATTTACGAACGTGCTTGTTGGATCTGAGACGGTTCTGGAAATCATAATAATTATTAGCAAAAAATTGAATGGTTCGATCTATTTTTGTTTTGTTTTTGCGTTTTATTGTAACACTCTGAAGTGCTTACATGAGGTGTTAAAAGAGAAAAACGGGGAAAAAAGACTAAGGAAAGGTACAAGAGAAAAAAAAATAAACAAGGAAAAGGAAAGAGGGATGAATACCAAGGAAGAGAGACGGAAGAAGGGACAAGTGTACGGTCACTGTGATTCTTATTATCATAGCTGAGGTTCCCCTCCACTGCGCTATCCTTTTCCTCCTTCGTCCTAATGTTATATACAGTCATAAGGAGAGGGAAGGGAATAATAATTGGTCTTTACTATTGCACGAAATAGATCTATTCGATTAAGAGTGTTTTATGTCTGTTAATTAGTTTATTCACTCTGTTCATTCTGAAAAACTGACCTAGTGAGTCCTTCTTCATTTTTCTAAACTGATCCCAGTAAAATATATCCTCAAGAAACGGCGATCGACCTAAATCTGACTTATGCATATTCTCCAATCTTTTCTTTATGTATCTCTGAACGTACGATTTAAGTGGTTTCTCCTTCGTTACTGTAAATAGATCCTCTGCCTTGACATATGGGCTTCTGTATACTATTCTGACACCCACACGGAATTTCCTGTCCGAGGCTTCTCGCTGCTTCTTTGGGAGAAAGGGGTAGAAGGGAAAAATCCACACTAAGTGTGGAAAGACATACGCAAAAAAAACATTGTCTTAACACCTGAACAGAGACTTTTCTGCCTCTATTCAACCACTTCAATTTCACCAGAGCGTTTCCGATTTTCTCGATACACTGATCTACCGTAGGTTCAAGTGACAGCTTACTCGTCCATGTAAATCCTAAATATTTAAAAGCATTCACGATCTCTAATTTTTGCTCTTGCATGAAAACATTTATTTTCGGTTGTTCTATTTGCGTATAGAACACCTGTCCGACCGTTTTCTGTACATTGATAGGCTGCTTCCATTTCCTCGCATATTCTGCTATTCTACTGCAGATCTTGGAACCATCTCTTTCGAGAAATTCGATTGCTGAAGCAAAATTTCTCGTAACGGGGGCCTTGACTAGTATGCTTAAGTCATCCGCGTATATATGTCCTGAGTGTGCGCCTGTACAGTGAATTAAATCACTGTGGTAGACGATAAACAGGTAAGGGCTAAGGCTACTTCCTTTTGGTAATCCAATATCTATCTGAAAGCTGTCCGATCTTTCCTCTCCAAAGACGATATATGTCAGCCGGTTCCTTAACCACGATAAGCACATTTTCAACAATTCCAGGGGCATTCCTAATCTGAGGAGCTTTACCGTCAGTCCGGCATGCCGTACGGTGTCGTATACCTTTTTAAAATCCACGTACAGAGCAAGAATTGGCATATTAGCAGCTAGACTGTTTTTAATCTCCTGGTATATCGAGAGGACTCTAGTACTTAAGAGACCTCCTGGTCTAAAACCTGATTATTCGGCAGTAACTAGATGGGCTCCTTCTGCCCACTTTCTGACTCTTTCAACAACCACTTTTTCCAATAATTTGGAATGGGTTGGCAGGAGGGAGATTGATCGTATCTGGTCGGTTCTCGGTACACCAGCTTTCAACTTGTTCAGGGTAACAATTTTCGCTATTTTCCAGAAGTCTGGATACTGGCCTCTTTGTAGCCAGACGTTGAAGTAAAGCCACCGACACATTAGAAGACCCCCCTATATTAGAAGACCCCTCCATAATAGAAGACCCCCCTTGGATAAATGAAGCAAAAGACATATTAGAAGACCCCCCTGATAAAATCGATTTTTTTACGAATAATTTCTGAAGTTTATTAACTTTTTTAGTATATAATTCCATAATTGTATCGTAAGTCAGTATGAACAATATTTTGCTTCCTTTATGAAAATNTCTAAATCAAGACATTGAGACGAATAATTTATCCCTAATTGACCAGCCATAATTCAAGCTAAATCGTCAGCAAAGAAGTGACTTATGCAACCAGATAGGGAACTACCCATATCACAATTATATGTGATGAATAAGGTTGGAGTAAAAACACTTCCTTGAGGGCCACCTTTTTCGATAGAGAACCAACAAGATTTACTACCATTGATTTCTATGAAGCAACGTCTGTTATTTAACCATGATTCAATCCAATTGAGAAAAAATGAAAGGATACCCAAATTTCGTAATTTTTCAACGCAACCTAGAAACCACAGTTGATCAAAAGCAGCCCGAAAATCTACAAAAATAGTGCAAACTGGAGCACTATTTGACATAAGACTGTATATAGCTTCAAGAAAGAGAAGTAAACGTGTTTGTAAATGAAAACGTTCTCTAAACCCTGATTGACTGTTAGGTAAAAGACCTCTTCTAAATAAAAGATCACGAAATCGAGTAAGAAAGAGTTTCTCACCTATTTTTTGCAATGAATCGAGAAGTGAAATAGGACGAGTTAAAGACGGTGGACAAATGGAATCTTTTTTTGCTAATAAGATCATTCGGGTATCTTTCCATGCGGAAGGTAAAATTGACTTTTGAAAAGAATAATTGTAAAGTTTTAATAATAGAGACCAGTAATTAAGATCAAGAAAAGTAAACATAAAATTCGAAATACCATGAACATCTAGAGACTTTTTTTCTTTTTAGCTAGAACTGTATTTATAAGTTCATCTAGTGTTACTTCAGGAATAACTTCATTATTATTATCATATTCAATTGGAGGCGAATCAGTATAAGGATGAGGTCTAATAATATTTGATGCTTTTAAAAAAATCTTCGTAATAATCAACTGCTACATTACACATAAGATCACTTTCTTTGACAATTTGTCCTGATGAATCAATAAAAGCATGTAGAGAAGAGGATGACGGTTTGAGAAAACGTTTACTTCTATAGCAAAATGAGTTAGATGATGAAGAAGGAGATTACGAAGATGAAGAAGATTATCAAGTTGAGAAGAAAAAAAAAGATTAAGTTCCTTTTTAGCAATTTTTTTTAAGAAACATACCTCCTTTTTTATTATGCTATATTTCGTTCTTATTTGTTTAAAAGACAAAGCTCTAATATAGGATAAGAACGATCTTAGTTCAACAGGTAAAGCTGAACGATATTTGTCTAAATAAAAAAAGGTTGTACAACGAGCAGACAAGAGATATAAAAAACGAATGTAATCATTATATGTGATGTCAATAGAAGAGAGATTCCAATTCTCTTCCCAAAAGGAGAATGTGTATTCAGAAAAAAGTGAAAATACTTTCCAATGAGTATTTTTTCCTAATTTTTGTTGTAAAACTTTCAAGGGAATAACAGAGAGTATTGGAAGATGATCACTGGTTGTATTTCCATTATATACTTGAATATCAAGATTTAGACCTCGCACTAATGCATAATCGATTACTCTATCAGATCTTAAAGACGTTGGAGAATTCGGTAGAACTTGAGATAGAAATTGTTCATCAGCCCATTGAAGTAATATTTCAGCTTTCTTTCCATCCTGCATGATATCAACATTAAAATCACCATAAATAATACACTTCTTTGATAAGAAATGGGAGAGATCATCCCATGACCATGTTTTACTATCAGGTGCATATACACCAATTAATCTAAAATCTTCTTCACCTTTAATATCAACTACACAAACATTAGGTAACTTGCAGGGAACTCTACTTATCGAAATATCTTCTTTAATAAGCATTAAGACACCACCATTTCTGTTTTCACCTTTTTGATAAAAAAATCTGTAGTTATAGAAAATTTTTTGATGGAATGAAATGTCTATATCACCGGTTTCAAGAAGAATAAGAGCATCAAATTTAAATGACGGAATAAGCAGAAGAACTTCTTGCCATCTAAGATCAAGTCCACGAACATTAAATAGAAGAACATTAAAAGAAAAAGAAGAAGGTGTATCACAGACAGAAGTAAAACTCTGCCATTGAGAAAAACAAGAATAGAGATTTGGCCTACTTTCCCATTCCTCAAGGATTTTTCAAAAAAGATTGAAATCAAAACGAGAAAAAGAATCTTTAGCTTTTCATAAAAGATGATTACGTTTAGAAAGTTTAGAAGAAGAAACACATGAGAAAAAAGGAAGAGCACGAGGAGAAAGAGACATCAGTTGGTAGAATATTTACCTTCTTTTGTTTTCTTCATTTGGATAAGATAACGTTCAAGTTTAAGTTTAAGATCAGGATCAAGTATATTTCCTTTTTTGTCCTGATTTTGTGATGCAATTAGACCAAAAAAATCTTCGAACATTGGTAGCATTAATTTCATGAATAAATTTTCATGTCGTTCAATTAAAAGACTATGATGAACTAAATCTTTTTTAAATTCAACAGATTGTTTGGACAATAAATGTACATTTTCTTTAATTAGTAAATCACTTTCTTTTTTTTCAATCATGAATTGCTCAAAGTTGTTATACTTTAATTCAAGATTTGAAAGATGATTATTTACCTCTGTGATTTTTCCCAGTAAATCATCTAATTTAGTTAACATAGTATTATTGGGATTAGTTGGTACAAATTGAGGCATAGGCATTGGTGGAAAATCAGAACTTGAATATTTGAAGTTTGAATTACTCGTGTTGTTTAAGATGTTGGTGGTGGAAGAAGTTGAACGATTATTAGGAAATAATAATTTACCTGTTAATTCAGATCTAAACGATTTTATTACTTGGCATTTAAGAGAGTTGGACTTATGATTTTGTCCACAGTGAATACATTTTTCGATTTTAGAGCTAATATGTAGTTTTAAATCATCAGCACATTCACCACTTGTCCGACAAGTACTCTTGACCTGGGTACATTGTTTCATGAAGTGACCTAAACCCATGCATTTAGAACAAATTAAAATATTTGCCGGGACTAAATAGTCATCAATATCATAGACTATATAACCAACAGTTATTTTTCTTTTAATTAATAATTCTTTTTTTTTTTGTTTTTTCGTTTTATTGTAACACTCTGAAGTGCTTACATGAGGTGTTAAAAGAGAAACAAAGAGAAAAGGGGGGAAACGACTAAGGAAGGGTACAAGAACAAAAATACAAAAGAAAGAGGGAAGAAAAAAAACAAAGAAGAGGGACGGGAGAAGGGACAAGTGCAAGGTCACCGTGATTCTTATTATCACAGCTGAGGTTTTCCTCTACTGCGCCATTCTTTTCTTCCTTTATCCTAATGTTATATACAGTCATACGGAGAGGGGAGGGAATAATAATTGACCTTCACTGCTCCACGAAATATATTCCTTCGATTAAGAGTGTTTTGTGTCTGTTAATTAGTTTATTCACTCTGTTCATTCTGAAAAATTGACCTAGTGAGTCATTCTTCATTTTTCTAAACTGATCTCAGTAAAATATATCCTCAAAAAACGGCGAATGACCTAAATCTGACTTGTACATATTCTCCAATCTTTTCTTTATGTATCTCTAAACGTACGATTTAAGTGGTTTCTCCTTTGTTACTGTAAAAAGATCCTCTACCTTTGCATATGGGCATCTATGTACTATTCTGATACCCACACGGAATTTCCTGTCCAAAGCTTCTCTCTGCGTCTTTGGGAGAAATGGATAGAAGGGGAAAATCCACGCTAAATGAGGAAAGACATGCAAAAAAACATTGTCTTAAGACCTGAACAGAGACTTTTCTACCTCTTTTCAACCACTTCAATTTCACCAGAGCGTTTCCGATTTTCTCGAGACACTGATCTACCGTAGGTTTAAGTGACAGCTTATTCGTCCATGTGAATCCTAAATATTTAAAAGCATTCACTATCTCTAATTTTTGCTCTTGCATGAAAACATTTATTTTCGGTTGTTCTATTTGCGTATAGAACACCTGTCCGACCGTCTTCTGTACATTGATAGGCTGCTTCCATTCCTTCGCATACTCTGCTATTCTACTACAGACCTTTGAACCATCTCTTTCGAGAAACTGAATGGCTGAAGCCAGATTCCTCGTAACGGGGGCCTTTACTAGTATACTTAAGTCATCCGCGTAGATATGTCCTGAGTGTGCGCCTGCACAGTGAATTAAATCACTGTGGTAGACGATAAACAGGTACGGGCTAAGGCTACTTCCTTGTGGTAATCCAATATCTATCTGAAAACTATCCGATCTTTCCTCTCCAAAGGCGATATATGCCAGCCGGTTCCTTAACCACGATAAGCACATTTTCAACAATTCCGGGGGCATTCCTAATCTAAGAAACTTTACCATCAGTCCGGCATGCCATACGGTGTCATATGCCTTTTTAAAATCTACGTACAGAGCAAAGATTGGCATATTAGCCGCTAGACTGTTTTTAATCTCCTGGTAAATCGAGAGAACTCTTGTACTTAAGAGACCTCCTGGTCTAAAACCTGATTGTTCGGCAGGAACTAAATGAGCTCCTTCCGCCCATTTTCTGACTCTTTCAAGAACCACTTTTTCGAATAATTTCGAATGGGTTGGCAGGAGGGAGATTGGTCGCGTCTGGTCGGTTCTCGGTACACCAGCTTTCAACTTGTTCAGGGTAACAATTTTCGCTATTTTCCAGGAATCTGGGTACTGGCCCCTTTTTAGCCAGACATTGAAGCACTTCACTAAGCATTGTACATAAGCTGGTGGGAGTATCTGGATCATATAGTTAGATACTTCATCGTATCCGGATGATTTCTTATTTTTCAATTTCTTTATTAATTTTAGCATTTCTGGTACTGAAATTGGGTCTAGACCGAGTTTAGTGGCTGAGGCTACATTATTCACTATTTGGTTGTACTCATTCTCTATTTGACGATCATGACGATCGTTTTCATCTATAAGGGGAGGCTTCGCTTGTTCCTTATAATAATCATGTAGCGTTCTCGTTATCTCTTGATGATCCGATATGATTTTTAAACCTGTTGACAACTTCGACAGAGGGAGTGTTTTCGGTTTATAAATCCTCGACAAATGAGACCAGAAAGCATTTCCTCGACAGTCATGTGCCTCTTGTATAGTAGAAAGAAAGCTACTCCAACAATTCGATCTATATTTAATAATCTCATTCTTAACGAGCCTGGTCATTACTCTTAAATTAATTCTATTTTCTTCATCACCTATTCCTCCATTTATTTTCCTTTCTCTATAATATCTATTTCGCACTTTGCGAACTTCCTTTAGCATCTGTACTACGTACGGTGGCAAGGTCGGGCGATATTTATCTCTGTTCTTCCACTTAGTTACTCTATTCTTCAATGCAGCTAGAAATCGTACATAGTTACGATACCAATTATCAGCGTCTTGCCTATCTGATTCTTTTATCCAAAATTCTTGTAGTAGTCCTAACACTACTTCGAAAACCTTCCAATTTACTGTTGGAAATTGACCACTTGTTTGGAATCCTATCTGCTCACTCTTCAATACTATAGGCCAATGATCACTTGATCCAGTTTGCCAAGTTTCTGCTTTAGCGTCTAGCACGTTAGTAAAGATAAGGTCGATATGTCGAGCTGAACGTTTAGACGAATTTTTTGTTCCGGGTATGAAAATCAGATCCCATTTATCTATCCATTTTTTCAACTGAGCTCCTCTTGCATCAGTGGACGGACTATCCCACTCTTGAACCGAAGCATTAAAATCTCCAGTCAAAATCGTTCTTTCTGTTATATATGGTGTTAATTCATTCAAGTTTCGATGTTGACAATGGGGCCAATAAATACCGATTATTCTAACTTGTTCAGACAGTCCAACAATGTCCACTATCACAGTATTATCTATGTTAATATCAACTCGTGTAGCTTTAAGGTGTTTTCCTACCGCTACAATAACTCCTCCTTTATTGTTTGTGCCTTTTTGATAGAAGGTGTTAAAATGGGGTATCTTGAAACTATTCCACAATTCTCCAACTTCTGTAAAAATACAGATTGAGCTATCTGTCTTATAGATTAATTCAATTGCTTCAAGGGCTCTTGTTCCCCATCCTTGTACATTGTACGTAATGGCATTTAAAGGACTTCGATGACACGATGAGGGGGGCTTTTTCTTTTCCCAAAGACTAAGAACACCATTCAGTGTATTACCTGAGTACCATTCATTAATAATCTCGGTGATGTATTGGACAAGGCAGGAAGGAAAACCCCAGTCTATGACTTTTTGAATCACGGTACCTTTTACATCGGCAGGGAAAAACGGGTACGTAGGGTCTGAGGAAATAAAAAAAGGGGGGAGCATGTACGTTTAAAAAAGGGGGAGTACTGTTATTAGTCATCTACTGATACCATTGATTGTTCTTCTTCCATTTGAACGTTGTTTTCTTTAATATTTGATGTTGTTGTTGGTTTAGTTGTTTTATTTGGATTGAGAGATGGAGATGTTGGTGTTGAATTTTGTTGTTGTTGAGAGGAGACTGCATTAAACTTCTCTATAATGTCGTCTTTAAATTCTTCAATTTGATGTGCCAATTTTTGTAGTTGTTGTTTGTTTTTCTTTTCTAACATTGCAGTGATGGTCTGTTGCATAATATTTGCTAAACCAATTATACCTTGTTTATTAATTGACGATCTTTTATCTAATATATCCAATTTCATAACTTGATTATCAATTTTGGATTCCATTCGACGTGTTATATCTAAAACATATTTAATTTGTGTTACGAGTTCACTTAACTGATTTGTTCCAAAATGATTTTGAGGTTCACTTGATGGTACACCTCCCCACACCGCATGTTTTACATTTGTTTGTTGTAGTGCTGGAAAATCTAATTCTGCACGATGTACTGTACCAGCTTTCTTAATTACTTCCACCTGATGTAACCAGCCACCTTTAACAGCATTATCTACTTCATCTTTTAATGAACGACGATAGTCTTTAACCACCAGACAATCCATACTAAGAGACGAGTGTGGACCTTGACATTGAGCACATAATACTGATTTTTGGCATTTATGATTACGATCCCATGCATCTAAACATTTTCGACAACGTGGACTTACTTTACAATGTGGACGAATATGACCTAATTCCCAGCAGTTGGTACAATATGTCATTTTGAGACCTGATATAAAAGCAGTAACTGGAAGCAGTATATGACCTATTGCTAAACGACCAATACTAATTATTTCATCATATTCATTTTCATCAGTAACACAAAATCTATAATCATTAGTTGATCGAGGACGATGATAATTAATTTTTGAGAATGATACTGTTGATTTAATTGATTTAACTGTTTCTTTAAATACAAATTCATTTGTTAATTCAGGAGGTACATACCGTAATACTAAAGCACAACAATCCGGTAGTACCCGTGGACGTTCTATTTCTATTTTAATGTTGTTCATATCATTTGGCCAATTACAATTCCATAGCATTAAAAAATCTTTTTTTCTTGTAACACCAAACTTGTATCTATTTTTACCAGCAGGGATTAACAGAGAAAAATCCCCAATTGACTGTGATGATTGTTGTTGAACTACTTGTCGAATCCAATTGGCGACCTTCATCGCTGATGGAAGCTGCTGTTGAGCTGTATCAATGTCAAGACTAAAATTAATATAAAAACATGGTAAATTATTAGATACAGCATGTTTGAGGTGAAACGGTGGAAACCGAAATTGACGTTCTGTTGATGATGATGATGTGAACTTGGTCGAGAAACTTGTTGGTGTTGGTTCATGTGGACGAGGCTTTTTTACCTGTCTTCGAACTTGATTTTCTGGAGAATTACTATCATCAAGTGGTCGTCGCGGTGTTGAAGAAGTTTTATTATGTAATGGTGCATTTTGATTGTCGAATGATGTTTTTGTTGAATGAATATTAACCAGCTGTTGCTTTTGTTGAGTGAAGGGCGAAATGATTGGCTTGTCCATTAATCGAGATAGATGGCGAGTTGTTTGTTGCGGTGGACAGGGAGAAGGAATGGATGAAGAACGTGTATGATGAGTCACGATTTTATTTCTTTGTTCACGTACTTGTAAGTCTAATTGTTGTTTCTTGTAAATTTCCGTCATAAAATGAATAAATTGAGTATCATATTTCATTTGATTCTGCCAATAATGAAAATCCGACTGATCATTTATTGTTTTAAATCCATCAGAAGGTTCTTGTTCCGCGGCCATGGGCCAGAGCAAGGAACCAGTAATTGGATATAGATATAGATATAGAGAGAACGAAAGAAATTATAGTAAGAAACGAAAAGAGAAAATACGTCTTATCGCTATCAGTGACAGGTTGAAAGTGATATGTAAGAACATCGTGTGGCAGTCGTGATGTATCTAACGAGACACGTGCCATGTTGACGATGTAGAAGATGAAATTGAACGACACACACGAAATAATTAATATTGAACGAGACTAATTGTTTATTGTTGCTCGATAGAAAGTATACGAGAGGAAGGAAAATGATTGAACGATCGTTATTTCTAGGTACATTACTTAATCCTTATTGTATTTTTAAGACAACGAACGGCTATATAACGAGAAATTTGTCTATAGAAAAGATATGTATATAATCTGTGTTGGTGAAACAAAATTAACAGAAAAAAAAATTTACAAAACTTAAGAGGAAATGAATAGTTATTCGTACATTGTTATAAAGTCAGAATGAGAAAAAGTTGTTTTTGACAGAGAGGCATGCAGAGAACAAGGTTTTAGTGCAACATATGTATTACTGATGTATAGCTATTTATCGCATGTTTTCACAAATTACACTTTGTTGAACAATATTTCACTGCAAAAATCTAGTTTTTCTCGAACTTTTCTTTTCTTCGGCTTTCTAAAGCAAAAGACTTTATCTTTTATAACGTATGATGCAAAAGTAATGGCGCAAAATGTCGATACCTATTTCTCTTAGATAAACGGATACTGGAAAAAAACTTTTTTAACCAAATGATAGAACTATTTTTCCTCTTTCGAATCGTATATAACTTATTTTTATAACATGTTCATGAACGAAACGACGCAACAAAAAAGAGAAGCACCCTTAAAAAGAATCTGCACTTTTCCATTAAAGGATCGTATAAAATGTTGATCCTTCTATCTCTTCGATAAACAGATTCTGAAAAGAATATTTTTTTATCAATTGATAAGAAATTTTTTCCTCTTTCGAACAGTATATGGTTCATATTTGTCACACATTGATAAATGACACAAGAAAAAAAGAGAAACACTCGCGCAATAAGTGTGTAATTTTTATATGAAATCGGTAAAAACATCTTGTAGATGATAGCTAATTATAATAAACTGTCGTTTTACAAGATGTTTTTACCAATTTCATAAAAGTCAAAGTAAGCACCATTTTACAAGATCTTTTTAATGGGTCCACAAAGATCGAATTAATTATTGTCTAACAAGATGTTTTTGACCATTTCATATAAAAATTACAAACTTATTGCGCGAGTGTTTCTCTTTTTTTTCTTGTGTCATTTCATTTATGGATGTGTGACAAATATAAATCATAGAGTTCGAAAGAGGAGAAAATTTCCTATCAACCGATAAAAAAATATTCTTTTCAGAACCTATTAATCGAAGAGATATAGGGATCCACATTTGTGCCATTACTTTTGCGTCGTACGTTATTAGCGATGAAAATTTATTTATTGGTTTCCTCCACGATCAATATTTTATTCATCTGTTTATCTCAAACATTTTTCTACAGTTAAATCATTTCTTTATCACTATTTGACACTATAAGAAACCTAGAATATTCTTAGTCATATTACTTGATACATAAGCATGAAGATGATTGTCTTGTTTTGAAGACATATCATTATATATATAAATACTATATGCGAATATAAATTAAAATTCTTCTTGTACTAAAATAGATTGAAGGTTTGGAAAATTAGCTTTTCAGCATGAAAAAGATCATAAACAGGGATTTTTGGTCGTTGAAAATCTCATTTTCCTAAGACTTTTTAATGTACACATAAACACTAATGAGGACAGATCTCGTTCGTTTCCATTTATTCAACGTGATTGCAGATGAATCTATATGA